TACAAATTATGAACAGCAAATACATATCTCTCAACAAGTGAATCTAAAAATCAAGTGAATAAATAATCTGATGAACAGAATGAACTGGTGAATATAATAGAATCAGGGGCATAGAAAGGGAGTGGACTGACTATTCTTGGGGGGGAAAGGGGTGGTGTGGGGGCGAGAAGAGACTGGACAAAAATCATGCACCTATGGATGAGGACAGTGGGTGGGGAGTGAGGGCAGAGGGTGGGGTGGGAACTGGGAGGAGGGGAGTTATGGGGGGAAAAAAGAGGAACAAATGTAATAATCTGAACAATAAAGATTTAATTAAAAAAAGAAAAGAAAGAAAAAACAAGAGAAATATAAAAATATGGGTTAACACAATAGAGTTTCCTCCTCTTGTACAGCTTTTTAAGTTATGCTTGACAGCCAAATTACAATAACACTCAATGTATGCAAAGAAAATACATAAGACAATTATAAGTGGGAAAGGTAAATGAATGTAAAGGGAGGAAATGTTTCTACATATCACTTGAAATAGTAAACTGTGGACAACAGTAGATGTACAAGTTATGTATATTTAACATATACCTAGAGCACCCACCAAAAAAGTTATACAAAGTGATACACTAAAAAACTATAAGTAAATCCAAATAGAATTCTAAAAACAATATTTAAATAACCCACAAAGAATCAGAAAAAAGAAAACAGGTAAATGAAAAAGAGAACAAAGAGAAAACAAAAATTAAAATGGCAGACTTAAGTCCTAACATATCAGTAATTACATTAAATGCAAATGGTCTATATATTTGGAAAAATAGTCATAAACTTCAAAAGGAAGTTTCTGAATTATGATAAATACTTTATGCTTAACCCCTATTTTCAAAGAATTTTAGTGTACATACTTAATCCATTATTATGAGAGAATTCATATATGCCAATATAAATGGCTTGTTACAAAAATTACATAAAAATAACATGTTATAAATAAATAAATTCTGGGGATAAAATGGACAACATGATGACTATTGTTAATAATACTGTATTATATATTAAGAAGTTGCTAAGAGAATCAATCTTAAAAGTTCTCATCACAACAAAAAACATTTGTAGCAATTACAATATGATGGATATTAATTAGAATTACTGTTGTGATCACGTTGCAATATATACATATATTGAATCATTATATGGTACAAAGAAAACGAATGCTATATGCCATTTACATATCAAAGAGTTAGTTTAATATTTTTCTCTTTTCTTATAGAAAATGTGATTTCCCCCCTCCTTTTGACTAACTAGTTTTAAAAGGCTTAGAAAATTTTATGTAACAATTTTATAACAATTATTTAAAAATTACGTTTAGTTTCATTTATTCATTGATTTATTCAATTTAACTGAAACTATTTCAACATCTGCTATAACATCAGCTTCTATTTCAATCTTAGGTTTAATATGACAATAATAATCATTTGTCCACCCTTCTCCCCCAACACACACATTAGTCAATCTTAATATGTAATCCTTTCTCATACTAAAAATTTTCCTCTTAATGGAAATCTGACTTAAATAGTTATATAGTTGATTTGAATATTAGTTTGTACTTGTAATTGTTGAAACTTTTGAATTAAATTACATGCTCCTGAATCTGAGTTCTGTATAGAATAGGTGCTCACATGACACTCATTAATATTCATGGCATTACATTAATTCATATATCCATTTACTCATCCATCTGCTAAACATTCACTATGAGCCAAGCACACTGTATTCAATCCTGCAGACAAAAAAAACCCGGAAAAACAAAAAACTAGTCCCTGTGTTAAAGCTAAAGCTTCCCAGACATTTGAAGAATTCTGATAGGCAAAAAAAATGGTCCCCTAAATATGACCATATTCTAATCCCCGGAAGCGGGGAATATTTCACTTTACAAGGGAAAAGGGACTTTGCAGATGTGATTATGATGAACACCTTGAGAAGGGAGATTATCCTGAATTCTCCAGGGTGACCTCATCTAATCACATGGGTCCTTAAAAGCAGAGAACCTTCCCCAGTTATGTTCAGGCAGAGATGTGACACTAGAAGAACAGTAAGAGATGAACCATTGCTGGCTTTGAAGATGGAGGAAGGGCAAGGATCCAAGGAATGTGGGAGGTTTCTAGAAGCTGGAAAAGGAATGCAGCCCTGCTTGATAAACCTTGATTTTAGGCAAGTGAAATCCAGGTCAGACTTCTGACCCACACAACTCTAAGATAATAAATTTGTGTTTAAGCCATTTAATTTGTGGCCATTTGTTAGAGTAGCAATAGAAAACTAACACTGGGGTAATCTAGTCCAACATGTTTTTTTTGACAGATCAGAAAACTAAAATCCTCAAAGGCACACATTTCCTAGTAGGTAGTGGCAATGCACTTTTGGGTGTGAAGATAACATAATTCTTATCTGTTCTTAAACCCTGGTCTGATGTCAGGGTGAAGGCAGTAGTTAGGACTTTTAGTATATGAAGGGAAATAGCTAACACACTTTTCTGTATATTAAATGTGTGGTATACTAATACCATAGTTGCTCATCTCTAGGTTGATTTGGCTAAATTACTACTATATGCTGCAGAAAAACTTTTACTGCATATCCTCAAAAGTACACAAATTATTTTATAAAACTATGCATGCTATCATGTACATTCATTTATAGGTGCAAAGTAATCTTTGCATTGTCTTCTGTGCCCAGATTGGTACCGGGTACACCATGCACTTTTCTAAGAATCCAGATCTGTGAAGGAAATGAAGTCTGAACCAAAAATACATTGGAATTTTTAAAATAAGTGATTTCCCCTCCATGAATTCAGTCAAGTACTTATTGAGCACCTACTGTGTCCCAGGGACTCTCTAAGGTACTTTAATAGAAACAATAGACCCAAAACTTATATTTTATTGGGGGAACCAGATGGTAAACAACAGTAATAAATAAATTAATGCTAAATATTGTTAAATGCTCTTAACAAAAATAAAGGAATGTAATTCCTTTATTAGTAGTCAAATGTAGACATTTTGACTAGTCTTAAAAGGCTTAGAAAACTTTTATGTAAACATTTTACTTAATAAAAATTACAGTTAGTTTTATTTATACAATTTAATTGAAACTATTTCAATAATCAGACAAAAAAGAAAATGGGGAAAATGCCTTTTATGTTCCACAGCTCCTAAAATCAGCAATAACTGTCTTTAAGTGTTCAGTGGAAGACTTCAACATGCTGATGATGTAGTCAAGGTTTTTCATATTATATAACACTAATACAAATGAAACAAAACTTTCAAAACAAAAGCCATTGATTTTCCAGGTTTCCCACTTACTACTGTAATACAGCAAGTTGGGTGATAACTGGATAGACTTGGCACATAATATTGTATCAGTGACAATTACAGCACTGGAGTATTTTAGGATTTCCAGATTCTGGATGCCTCCTAGACTTGAGGAACTATATGACCCATGTTGTTTCTCTCTCCTTCTGACATTAAACTGTGGAGAACTCAATAATTACTAATACAGTATTTCCCACATATTATACATTAAGAACAACTAACTCTATATAGAGGGTGGCAAAGAAGACATAGAAAATTTAATTACTACTGAATTTAAGAGAAAATTCAAACTTAAATAATCAATTTTATATGATTTTGTTAACACAGTAAGATAATGTTTAAAACTCACTTTGAAGTGTTTCAAGTTCAGCTCTAGTCAATGCATCTTCCTTTTCCTTCAGTCTTGTTTCTTTATATTTAGCATAAAACTGTCCAGCATCCTTAAAAAAGTTACAGATTAACATAAGAATCAGTTTGCTTTGATATTATTTTCCACATAACTTTATTTTAAAGCTGTATATTCTTTTTTGTTTTGTTAGTTCACACCAGAGGATATTTTTTCCATTGATTTTTTTTGAGAGAGTGGGAGAGAGAGAGAAAAAGAGAGAGATATTGACGTGAGAGAGACATATCAATTGATTGCCTCCACAAACCCCGAGTGGGGCCTGGGATTGAACCTGCAACCTAGGTACATGCCCTTGACTGGGAATAGAACCCATGACCTTTCAGTGTGCAGGCCGATGCTTTAACCACTGAACCATACTGACTGGGGCTAAAGCAGTATATTCTTTAACAACGAGTCTTCCTTTGTTTTTATGCTTTCAAATTTTATGATGAACAGCAGAAAATTAATGAACACTTTCCTATAATTTTACTGTCTTAGAGAGCTGATTAGAGCCAGGCATTGCATGAGTATACATTTAAGTATTTTCTCTCAGATATGGATGGGATGTATCCTCTTCCTGTTTTCTTCCATTGTGCATTTTTCAATATAGTGCTATCGCATGACTAGAGAGCAAAAAAGACACTTTTTAATGGAATTAAATTATTTTGTATAGTAAATTGCATTATTGTACTAACATTATTTTCATATTAGTCCTTTAACTCTAAAATTTTTTCAAAGTTATATGCAAATCTGATTATGAAACCTATATGACCATGTAGATACAAGTGAAAGTTGTCATTCCTCCTTCTACTATACTAAGATATCACTTCCTATCGTGGAGGGTTGAAGATTAAGAACATATGCTATATACAAATGCTTAGTTGTCAAGATAACAGTGGCTAAAGTCTAAAGGTCCGGTATATATGTATGACTTAGCAGAGTACTGAAAAAGACTAAGCCCTCAATAATCACAGACATGGAGAAAAACAAGTTGATACTCTAGGCCAGCCGTGGGCAAACTACGGCCTTCCTATCGTGGAGGGTTGAAGATTAAGAACATATGCTATATACAAATGCTTAGTTGTCAAGATAACAGTGGCTAAAGTCTAAAGGTCCGGTATATATGTATGACTTAGCAGAGTACTGAAAAAGACTAAGCCCTCAATAATCACAGACATGGAGAAAAACAAGTTGATACTCTAGGCCAGCCGTGGGCAAACTACGGCCAGCGGGCCGGATCCTACCCGTTTGAAATGAATAAAACTAAAAAAAAAGAGACCATACCCTTTTATGTAATGATGTTTACTTTGAATTTATATTAGTTCACACAAACACTCCATCCATGCTTTTGTTCCAGCCCTCCGGTC